CATTTTAGTGTTGTTATCTACACTATAAGCTTAAACCGAAGGTATCACCTCAGATAGTTCTCTTGTAAGTGAATTTATAAGTAAGAACTTGGAGCTATAATAAAGATGTTTATCTATAGTATTTCCATCTGCTGTAAGCTTGATGTTTCTGTACAATTAATCTCTTCGAAGCTTCGCTTACTGAATAAGTTATATTCGTTTCGGGGTCAGGTGAAATGACTTGTTCGATCGCTACCAATAATATTATTATTAGATTGCTTATTAGCTATACATTTATCTTTATAACATGACTTTTCTTCATTCCTAATTCTAACTTTAAAAAGAAACAGTCATATTTATCTTTTTACTTCCAGTATTAACTATTTACACCTATATTATTCATCGTAGTTACGTAGCGACATGAGTAAAGGAATGACGTGCGGAAGAATTTTGCGTGTTGTTTTTTTTTCTTTTCTTCCTTGCTCCACTTTATTTATACATATTTGCAACGTACTTCAACTGCAAATGTACTTTTTCGTCTATCTAAATACGAAATATAAACATAACACATTATATTTGCTTTTTTTCAAATGATTCTAGTCAGATATCTTTCAGAATATAAATTTATAAAACACTACAGAGAATATGGCAACAACAGTATCTTATAAAAATGAAGTTCACCCACTTTCCAGTAATAGTAAGTTTTTTATATCGTAAAATTTTTATCAAAATCAAAGGAAATTTTATTTTACAGCTAGAGCACATTCTGTGAATCCACAATCGATTCCAATGACAAATGTTTCATGTAATTTTTGAGGAGTTTGTATATTTAAGTTAATATTTATATTTATTAAATAGCTGGTTATGTGCGTCAATCAGCAAATGAAGGTTTAGGTGTTTGTGGATGGATATTAGTTATTCTTTCATATATTTTGGTCGCTATTACAGTTCCATTTTCTTTATGTGTTTGCATCAAGGTTTGTTTTTTTATGAAGAAGTTCTCTTGAGATTATGGATTTTTTATTTTTATATAGGTTGTTCAAGAATATGAACGTGCTGTTATTCTTCGTCTTGGTCGTATTCTACCAGGTATTAAAATAGTTGTTATAAATCACTATTAAATATTTCATAGACTATCTGAAACAAGTTTTATGGTTGGAATCTATAAGATAAACTTCAAACAATGAAATCATATAGACGTAAATTCAGTGAATAATTTTGAAAAAATATTCTGTGCTTTTAGTTTCATTAAATCTAATCGATTGAATGAAGATATATATATATTTAGGCAGGGTAGACTATAAGTAACAGGACTGAACCATAAAAAATGAATATCTCCATAACGACTCGAGTGAACGAGCTGATTTTTTTGACAAGTGATAGAGGCTTGTATAAGCCTTATATTCATAATGACACACCTTGGTATACTCTCTATTAAGTGAGTCTAATGACTTCAAAAAAAATTTACTTTTCCATATATAAAAAAAATATAATGTACAAGGTGGGTCAGAAGTCACTTTATTCAGGAAAAAGTTGAATATATCCATTGTGGCATGAGTAAGCGAACTGATTTTTTTACGAATATTAGAGGCATGTTCAAGGTTTATATTTATAAGGACAAACCTAGAGAGACTCTTTGTTAAGTATATTATTCTTTTCTCTCTATCTGTGAAAAAGCAAATTTGTTTTTTGAAGTTATTACAGTCACTTAATAGAGAGTATTTCAAGGTATGTCATGATGAATATAAGGCTGATTTATGCCTCCATTACTGGTTAAAAAATCAGCTTCTCTGCCCGAGCCGTAATGAAGATATTCATTTTTTTATGATTCGGCCCCGTTACTTATGGTCCACCGTGTATTCATCTAAATCCTATTTTGTTTTATATAGGTGGTGCCAAAGGTCCTGGTTTATTTTTTATTTTACCATGTGTTGATACAATCATAAAAGTTGACTTGAGAACAGCAACATTTAATGTTCCACCTCAAGAAGTAACTCTTCTATATTTTTAAATATCATCATTTCGACTCCTTATTATTCTTATTATTAGGTCTTAACACGTGATTCTGTAACTGTTGCAGTTGATGCTGTTGTTTATAGTCGTGTTTATAATCCAGTAAATATAATAGAAAATTACTATGATTCGAAGGTACAATATTTCTTTTAAGGTCATCAGTGTCACAAATGTTAAAGATACACAGTCTGCTACACAGTTACTTGCACAAACAACACTAAGAAATATTCTTGGTACAAAAACATTGCAAGAAATTCTTTGTGAGCGAGAAGTTATTGCACAAAGTATGCAGGGTCATTTAGATGAAGGAACGGAACCATGGGGTGTGAAAGTTGAACGTGTTGAAATGTAATGATTATTAACAAATCTGTTATTCATAGATATAAAAAGTTATTTGTATTTATAGTAAGGATGTTCGTTTACCACAATCGATGCAACGATCAATGGCTGCAGAAGCTGAAGCAAGTCGTGAAGCACGTGCTAAAGTTATTGCTGCTGAAGGTGAACAAAAAGCATCAAGACAACTAAAAGAAGCTGCTGATGTTATTGCAGAATCACCAATTGCTTTACAATTACGTTATTTACAAACGTTAACAACAATTTCAGCTGAGAAAAATTCAACCATTGTTTTTCCAATACCGGGTTCGTTCTTTTGTCTATGTTATTTATGTCTAAGTTTTGTTTTCTCTTTAGTTGAATTACTTAGCTTGATAAAACGATAAACGTAAAAGAACTATATGAGACACTGAGAACATGGTACACATATAAATGTATTACTTTTCTCATTTTTCCTATATGTAATCTTTTTTTTTGTTTATTTGTCATTATCAAAATGATCAATACCTATATACTCTATTATGAATATTGATTTTGATTGATGATAGCAGGAATATACTTTAACGGGTGATTTGTAAAGAATAAAATATGTTAACAATATGATAAGAAAGATATTTGCTGGAATATGAAAAAACGAGAAGCTATATTTTTGTTTTTGAATAGATGTGCCTTTCAATTCTCTAGAATGTTGTCGATTTCAAGGTTTATGATCAATATGATATATGATGCTCTGCCAAGATTAATTCATACTGAGAAGCCAACTATACGGTTTTATGAAGAAAATTTTTGCTCTACAAAACCTACTATGATATATTTCTATAGTATTGTTTCTGTTAAACTGAAGCGCATTTGAATAATTTATCATAAATCAGTTGTGAATTAAAAAATTAGATCTTCATACCTGTACTTATGTTGTAATAGAAGAGATTTGATTAAAAATATACCTTCGACGTTAAATCTAAATTTTTTTAAATTTTAATTCAATTCAATAAACGTCCTTATTTTTTAATAATGCAAAAAATAGTGAATAATCAATCATATGTCATAATAAATAATATGTAATCAATCTATATCAATGATTATGATGAAAATATTGTGCACCTGTAAAAGCACGTTTTATTCTCAAAAAAATGATTAATAATAATGATAATATTTGCATAACTATAAGTGTGTTAGTTTTTCTTTTTGCACCTATGAATCTGAAATCGATTTTTTTCGTACACACATGAAAGTTTATCCCTTGTAATCTGGGCATATATTTGTGATTATTTTCTATTAAATTATCTGTAGGAATATCCAATTCAGTTTAACATTTGAATTCCAATGCATTTTACATTTACTAAAAAATCACAATTGATTCGTGTCTATTTTTTGTTTTCCTTATCTATAAACAAATGAATTAGTAATGAGTTCAAAATATGTTCGGCAAAATCAATCTTTGTTTTCCTCTTGCATATAAACTAGAATAATAGTATGTAAAAATACTTTTACCTTCATTTTTATTTACCTTTTTTTACCAATAGAAAAAAACTTAGAATATTATTTATGTGTGCTTCATCAAAGTTTGCCAAGGAACAAAAGTAGAAGATGGTTTTTATAATCAAAAATTGGGCGATGAAGCGAAACGTAAGTAGACATTTTATTATTGGAATACAAAGAAAAGAATGCCGCATGGTTTATAATTATGACGACGGTGACGTTCGATATACGGTAGAATACGTGGGAGCTCAAATAAATAAAGAATCGTTGAGTCATTTTTAATTTCTTTTTATGATACTTTACGGAACAAGGTTTGGTGTATATAAAATCGTCAGTAACACTATAATTATTTGTCAAAACAGAAAAGCAAATTTCCTAGAAACCAAACATCTGTTATAGTTTGGTATAAAAAAAAGAGAAAAATTATTTTCTAGACTAGTTAAAGAATAATATGGCATCGTCGATATCATTGAAACGTGAAGTTCATGCATCGGATAATGGAAGTTAGTATACTTGTAAAAGATCATTAAAAAAAGAGGTAATCTGTATTATTTTAAGATCGTGTTCAACCAACTGATGAGATAATGGCATCTAATCAAACAATAGAAAGTATAGTATAAGATAGAACAGTTTCACGTAAGAGTGAGTGTGAGACGAATGCAGTGCTGACACGCACACTCACATCACCCATTAGAAAAATGAGCGGCTCTCTCCTTTGGTTGTTATTTCTCGATGATCTCTGAATGAATATATGTATATTTGCTTACATATATATATATATGACGTGTCGAAGTTACTATTTTGGCAATAGAGGATAGCGAAGTTACAACTTCGACAAGATATATCATCAAAGTTTTTTTTTCTGAGGAGTGAAATCACAGTATTTACTGATTGTACTTTTCATATATGTATTTTCCTTTCATTCTGCTTCATTAGTTTCTTCTTTAACATGGCGCACATATTTGGATTTTTCCTTGATTTTTCTATATGTCATCCTATTGTATATAATACATACGATGTATTACATCTTTTGGGGTTTATCCTAGCCACTGTTCCTCGAGAACTCGATGAATATTTTCCAAAGATGCTTAATCTGCTTTTGTTTACATAGTCTGCATCAATATCATCAAGCTTAGTGGCAAGTACAAATGATATTCGTCAATGGAAGACGCATTTCAACTTAGAAGTTATGAAACTCAAGAACGATTCATCGAATAATTGACTTTATATAGGATCGTTAGCAAGAAACTGTTGAGATAATTACCAGTGGAAAACTGAAGCGATATCCTGAAAGAAACGAACACGAAGTATCACCATCCAAAAGATACATATGTGAAGAGTACCATCAGCAAATATTATGATTCCAATCCTCAGAAAAAAACTTCGATGACAAAATTTGTCAGGGTTATAACTATATAACTAAAGTTAGCAGCGGATTCGAGATTTCTCTCCAAATATTTGCCTACTGATCTATGTCGCAAATAATGATCAGTGCACTTTTCAAAAAAATCCATCCTAGAAAATAGGCGAAAACTACGGAAAACTAGGTTTCTTAATCGATTTTTGGTCAAAAAATTATTATTTCCACATGATATTTGTTTGACGACTTATATCAACTCTAAAAGTGGTTGTGCCAGATAGAACTCGATGAGATCTATCGATTGATATTCTTTTTGACCTGTTTCATATTTCTTAACTAGCTGGTGATGCGCGTCAATCAGCAAATGATGGTATAGGTGCTTGTGGATGGATATTAGTTATTATTTCATATATTTTGATCGTTATTACATTTCCATTATCGTTATGTGCTTGCATCAAGGTTTGTTTTTTTATGTGGATGTTCTTTTGAAATTATGGATTTTTATTTTCATATAGGTTGTTCAAGAATATGAACGAGCTGTTATTTTTCGTCTCGGTCGAATTCTACCAGGTATTAAAATAGTTGTTATAGATCACAACCAGATATTTTTATAGACTATCTAGAATACGTTTTATCATTAGAAAATATAAGATAAATTTGAAACAATGAAATCATATAGTCGTAAATTCAGTGAATCATTTCGAAAAAATGTTCTGTGTTTCTTAGTTTTATTAAATCTAATAAATCAAATTAAGATATATATATTCATCTAATTACTTTTTTGTTTCATATAGGTGGTACCAAAGGTCCAGGCCTATTTGTTATTTTACCATGTGTTGATACAATGGAGAAAGTTGATCTAAGAACAATAACATTTGATGTTCCACCTCAAGAAGTAACTTTTCTACATTTTAAAATATCATCCTTTCGATTCCCTTATTATTCTTATTATTAGATCTTAACACGTGATTCAGTTACTGTTTCAGTTGATGCTGTTGTTTATAGTCGTGTTGTTAATCTAGTAAATCTAACAAAAAACTGTTAAAATTTGAGAATTCAATATTTCTTTTAAGGCTACCAATGTCACAAATGCTAAAGACACACAATCTGCCACACAATTACTTGCACAAACAACACTAAGAAATATTCTTGGTACAAAAACATTACAAGAAATTCTTTGTGATCAAGAACACATTGCACAAAGTATGCGAGGTCATTTGGACGAAGGAACTGAACGATGGGGCGTCAAAGTTGAACGTGTTGAAATGTAATTATTACTAATAATTCTATTTTTGATAAATAAAACACGTATTGTTATTTATAGTAAGGATGTTCGTTTACCACAGTCCATGCAACGATCGATGGCTGCAGAAGCTGAAGCAAGTCGTGAAGCACGTGCTAAAGTCATTGCTGCTGAAGGTGAACAAAAAGCATCAAGACAACTAAAAGAAGCTGCAGATGTTATTGCTCAATCGCCTATCGCTCTACAACTACGCTATCTACAAACATTAACACAAATTTCAGCTGAGAACAATTCAACAATCATTTTTCCAATACCTAGTAAGTTCTTTTGTTTATTTTATTTATATTTTTAAGTTTTCTTTTCTTTTTAGTTGAATTACTTAACTTAGCAAAACGATAAACGTAAAAGAACTATGAGACAATGACAACATGGTACATATATATATATGTATTCCTTTTTCAACTTTGCTTTATGTAATATTTTTTTTTCTTATTTGCCATTATCAAAATGACTGATACCTATATACTCTGATGAATGATTTGTAAAAAATAAAATATGTTAACAATGTGACAAGAAAGATATTTGCTGGAATATGACGAAATGAAGGCCATATTTTTGTTTTGAATAGAAGCGCCTTTTAATTCTGTAAAATGTTCTCGTTTTCAAAATTTACGATCAATATGATATATAATGATCTGTCAATGTTTATTCATACTGAGAAGTCGATTCTATGATTTTGTAAAGAAAACTTCTGTTCTACATAACCTACTGTATGATATATTTCTATAGTATTGTATTTTGTCAGACTGAAGAACATTTGAATAATTTATCATAAATCAGTTATGAATTAAAAAATTGATAAATAAGTATAAGAGAAAAATTAGATCTTTATACCTGTACTTCTGTTGTAAAAGAAGAGATTCAATTGAATAAACATTTATATTTTAAAAATAATGTAAAAAAAATAGTCAATAATCAATCATGTCATAATAAATAATATGAAATCAATCTATATTCATGATTATGATGAAAATATTTTGCTATTCTAAAAGCACATTTTATTCTCAATAAATAATTAATAATAATAACAATATTTGCATAACTACAAGTGTATTAATTTTGCTTTCTGCATCTATGAATCTGAAATCGATTTTTTTCGTACACATATGAAAGTTTATCCCTGGTAATCTGGGTATGTATTTAGTATTTTGCATTTTCTAGAAGAAGAACAAGATGTCTTTGTGATTAACAGCTCATCCTTCTATTAACTTATCTATAGCAAAATTCAATCTAGTTTAACGTGTAAATTCCAAGGCATTGCATATTTATTAAAGAGTCATAATCGATTCGTGTCTGTTCTTTGTTATCCTTGTCTATAAGCAAATGAACTAGTGATGAGTTGAAAATATATTCCACAAAACTAATCTTTGTTTCTCTACATATAAATTAGAATAATAGTATGTGAAAATACTTTTACCACCTTTTTTATTTACCGTTTCTACGAATAGAAAAAACATTTATAATATTTTTTTATGCGCACTTCATCAAAGTTTGCCAAGGAATAAAACTACAAGTTGCTTTTTATAATCAAAAATTGGGCGATGAGGCCATATGTAAGTAAACACATTTATTATTGGAATACAAAGAAAAGAATGCCGCATGGTTTATTTTTTGACATCAATGGCGTCCGATATATACGGTGGAATACGTCGGAGCTCAAATAAATAAAGAATCTTTGAATTATTTTTTTTATGACACTCTACAGAACAACGTTTCTGATGTATATAAAATCATCAGTAACACTATAATTATTTGTGAAAGGAGAGAAACAAAATTTCTTAGAAACCAAACATTAGTTATAGTTTGATATAAAAGAAAAGAAAAATCATTTTCTGCACTGGTTCAAAGAACAATATGGCAACGACGACATCATTGAAATGTGAAGTTCATGCATCGCGTAACGGAAGTTAGTATGCTTGTAATAGAATACAAAAAAAGGAATTAATCTGCATTATTTTAAGATCGTATTCAACCAACTGATGAGACAATGGCATCTAATCAAGCAACAAAAATTCTAAGTATAGTAGAAGATATAAGAATTTTACGTTAAAAATAAGTTTATTTTATATAGTGACTGATGATTATAATCAATCGAATGATGGTAATTTCGATATTTGTGGATGGATATTAATTGTTTGTTCTTATATTCTTGTCATTCTAACATTTCCAATAACAATATTTATTTGCATTAATGTTTGTAAAAATAATTGATTCCTACATTTGATTAACACTGATATTCTTTAGGTTGTTCAAGAGTATCAACGGGCTGTTATTTTTCGTTTAGGACGTATTATACAAGGTATACTATTTTTATTACAATTTGATAAATTCTATTAATCATATTATATTAGGTGGTGCTAAAGGTCCTGGTCTATTTTTTATTTTACCATGTGTAGATACAATCGTAAAAGTTGATTTACGAACAACAACGTTCAATGTTCCACCTCAAGAAGTAATTATTTTTCTTTAAACTGTTATTAAATTTTCTTTAAAATTATTTTATTAGGTCTTAACACGTGATTCAGTAACTGTTTCAGTTGATGCTGTTGTTTATAGTCGAATTGTTGATCCAGTAAAAATGTTTAAATAGATAAAAACAAAAGATAAGATTTATTGAATTTATTTTAGGTCACTTCTGTAACTAAAGTAAATAATGTTTATTCTGCAACTCAATTACTTGCGCAAACAACATTAAGAAATATGCTCGGAACAAAAACATTACAAGACATTTTAAGTGATCGAGAAGCGATCGCTAATCTAATGGAAGCGCAACTCGACGAAGGAAGTTCACCATGGGGTATCAAAGTTGAACGTGTTGAAATGTCTGTTGAATGAAGAATTGTTTTTGCTTAAAGAGTTTATTTATATTATTTGTAGTACGGATGTTCGTTTACCACAATCCATGCAACGATCGATGGCTGCAGAAGCTGAAGCAAGCCGTGAAGCACGAGCTAAAGTTATTGCTGCTGAAGGTGAACAAAAAGCATCACGACAACTAAAAGAAGCTGCAGATGTTATTGCTCAATCGCCGATTGCCTTACAATTACGTTATCTACAAACATTAACACAAATTGCTGCTGAGAAAAATTCAACTATTGTTTTTCCAATACCTGGTTAGTTGTTTTGTTTCTGTTACTTATATGTCTGAATTTTATTTTTGTTTTAGTTGAATTACTCAGTTTAGTTAACAGAGGACGTTAGATTATCTCTAACAAAATGCTCGATTGCCAGAACAATAATATTTCTTGTCTTCATTTTTTTATTCTAATATATCGATGTCGTGCAAAATTGTTGTTTCATATATTTAATAAGAATAAACAATTGAATTACTATATATTTTAATGAATAACTAATAGATTATCTACTAAAATTAGAATTATTTGATAATCGATTGACTATTATCGAACAATATTAATTTTCTTTTCACTCCATACTGAACGAAAAATTTTATTTCATATATTTACAAGTATTTTGTGAAAAATATATGTATATATTTATATTAATCTACAGAAATCAAATCAATGTCTTTTTTTTCTTGAAATTTCATTGTCAAATAATATTATTTTCTAAAAAGAATTCCACCGGTGGTCAATGATAGTTCGATTTTGATCTTATGATTTCATATCATTTAAAGTTGGTAAAAGTAAATATTCACTTGTCAATGTTCCACAACTTGATGTATCATTAATTATCATTGGTAATATTGCTGGTGGAGATTCATATGAAACCGTACTAATCAATGTTGGACATAAACTATCAACACTTAATGTTGAATGACGTGTTTGATTTGATTGTTGTGATGATGAAATATTTTTTGCTGTGAGATTTTCACATGAAGCTGTTAAATTACGTTTAATATATGCAGCCATGAATGCACGTTGTTGCTCTTTAGTCAGGGACAAATATTTAAATGTCATTTTATTAATCTATCAAAAAAAGAAATGAAAAAGGATTCTCATCTAATTAAATAGAACATACTTTATTTGATTTATCTTTAATTTCTCTTTCTGTCATTGTTGTTTTTATTTTCTTGTGATAAAAAAGTTGTTCATAAAGAAATGGTCCAATAAATGCATAGGCAAAAAATAATGTTCCATATGCAAGTATATAATTATTATTCATATAAAATGTATATGATGATCTTAAGGGAATAAACAGATATAAACAAATCCATATAATTGTAATACATAGTGCGAAAAGACTTGTTAATATATGAATGAAATCATTTTGTTTATTATTTAAATGATATCGTATACTTGATTGAAATGAATAGAGAAATAGAAGAAAAAAATTAAATATTAATGAACAAAGAAATAATGGTCGATGACATTCAGTTGTACATTGTTCATCAGTATTATTATTGTTATTATTGTAAAACCAAATAAGAAGTATAGCTGTTTGAATTAAAACCGCAAGAAAAAATATTAAAAATGAACTAATTGCTATAAGAAATGATTTACGAATTGGATGTATTATTTTTAATAACCATTCATATGCAAAATGTACATTAAAACCAAGTAGAAGACAAAATGGTAGAATTTGTAATGATAATGTTTGTGTTGGACATACAATATTTATGGACGCTGATGGTCGAAAAAGAAATGTAATTGGAGAGAGTAATAATAAAAAAAGTGAAAATTGTGAAAAATATGTGTAGACATCCGATGATGATGATGTATGATGATTTCGTGCAAAAGTAATAATATATGCACAATAAAGAATAAGACCAATAGATATAAAACCAATGAGTCCGTATGATGGAAGATCACTTACAAAGATAAATGATGAAATTGAAGGCAATGAACCGTTAATACAAGCCATTTATCAAATCAATGATAACAATTTTTTGTTTTTTTTTCGAAAATCCGTTCTAGAAAAAAAATAAGAAATATTATATTCAATAATCACTTTTTAAATAACTGAATATTTCATAGTTTTAAATATACATTTATACATGTGTTTGACTGAATACATGTGTAAATGTATATACATCCTATCATATCATCGATTGAATTGTTCTCTATAGTAATAGTGACGCTCGCTCACTAATGACACTTGAAAATAGTTCAACTGTCGGTATACGTTCGTATTTGTTCTCTTTTTCTTTTTTTTTCTTTTTTTTTTCTCGTTCGACATTCGTCTGTATACTCGTAACGGATCTTTTTTTCCTTCGTCTATCTCTAGTATTGCACAGTCGCCCATCGAGTTGTCACTGTCTACAACAACGGCGCAACCAGATGACAATTATAAAATTCGAACATATATACATTTTAGTCTCTCTCTCTCCCTCTTTTTCTATGTATGTGTGTTTGGTTGGTTGACGTAATACACCACATCATTTTATTCTTAGTCTCCCTCTCTTTCATTTTCGAGTCTATGTTCATTTAAAAAGTTTCATTTGTTCTTTACTTAACAACATACCGTTGTAAAACGAAATCTAATGGTGTACAAGTTACCTTTTTTCGTTATTTTAGGTTGATTGATATTCTTGCCGATTTCTATATGTCTCTTGTAAAGGGCTTCACATGTGTGAATCGTCTTGTCATTATTATTTCTTTTTATTTGCATATCATTGATCCTTTTATTTCTCTCATCGAAGTCGTCGTTTCTTCGATAAAAATGATTATACTTACTTGTTGATATGATGATTAACGAAATGAGAATAAGACAAAGAAGAAATGGAGAAAGGTATATGACATGTTCATGATGACCTTGTATGTGAAAACAAAAAGAGATGAATGACCGATTGTTGAGGACATAAAGAAGGGTGTATCATTATCATATGATTATACATGTCAGTGCATTTGACTTTGATAAAAAATGTATAAAATGAAAGTTATGTTAGACATGTGTAGATGTGCACTAAAAAGAAAGAATTGAAGGTGACTACTTTAATAAAAAAAGAATTTCTTTGATTTCCCTTGAGAAATAAACTATAATTATACATTTGTTCATATGAATATTTGTATAATTTCAGAATTTTCTATTTAATAAAATTAATGATTAGATAGAAAATTCATTGAACTACAGATTATATTATTGATTTATCAGTATAAAATAAAAGAATATAACATAGATTAATCGTATTTCTTTTCCTTTATATGTATAAGAGTTTAGTTTTACGTAATCATTAAGCATTATTAAATGCAAATTAGTGAATGATGCTAATTTTTATTTGGTTTCTTTCCTGTTAAATAATCAAATTCGACTTTAATTTCATTTGAAATATAAAAAAAAGAAAAGAAAAGAAAATATGAAATTTTTTTAATCTATCACGCTATTTTCTTTTCTCTTCTATGAACTATGACCGATAATCGATAAAAATGAAAAGAAATTGTTCTTAATTCATTTTAACGACATTTATTTGAAGAAATATTATATCAATAGTACTGCATAATACTAAAAGAAAGCAATAATATGTAATTAATATGTTCTAAGACATAAATGTTGTGCAAGTAATCTTAAGCACATATCGTTCTATAAAGCAATGTAATGTATATATAATGAATAGGAAAAAAGGATGTTTTTTTTTACTATTGATAATAAAAGTTATTCAATTTAAAAACTTGTACTCAAATAAAATAGAGACAATGAATCATATTTTTCAAAGATCGGGACTAAAAGATATAGTGTATGTGTTTAAGAACAATTTAAGTGGAAACATTGGTAAAAACTATAATTATTGATTGAACAAACATATTGTTTCATCCACTTGAATAGAGTAACATATAATCTGATCTTTTATAATAATAATATTTAAAAAAAATTGAATATCGAAGGATTGTATAGTAATTTTCGAATTCTAAGCTTTAGATTTATTCTTCTTCTTGGTAATAAAAACATAAATTTTAAATCTTAGATAAGCTAGTTTAAATACAAAAGTAATATTGAAGTATGTAAATTATTTTATGTCAAGACGAAATTGATATTTAGTTTCTTTTGATGTGATGCGACCAACAATCGAGACTTACAACTAGAAGTGTTACACATCATAAATTAATAAAACCTTCAATATATGACTCAGTCTGATTTCGTTTTAACAAGAGTTCTGTTGTTAATGATATTCGGTATACATTTTATATTTGTTAAATACTTTAACAAAAAAAAATCAAAACGTGTTACATGGTTTTCATGAATCCATTGGATACATGAGAAATCCAAACATATAAATATATTAAAACAAGAATAACAAACACGGAACATTTTTATCAAAATTAGTACCAAAATAATCAAGCATTTGTATCATCTAATTTTATTCGTTTCGTTGTTTCTTCATCGCTAGTCTAAATATATTCAATAAGTTTGTTTCTTCTTAAAATTCATTGTTACTTACTGCTATTGGTTCAGTTGTAGTCGATGTTGGTCTTTTTAATTTAATTGGAGCAGTATTTTTATTTGCGGATTTTTGCATTGTTATTGTATAAATACCACGATCTGATTCATGTTTTTCACCTTGTGGTTGGTCATTTAATCCATCGATTGGTGGCTGTGATTTAGATTTGGATATTTTATCACCATTTCTTTAAAATAATCAATAAAAAAAAAATTTGATTTCAACAAACTCTATACTCACTGTATATCAGATGATAATGGTCGTTTTTCTCCTCCGAATTGTCTTTGATTTTGTGTTAATATTGTCCCCAAACGATTTGTACGAAATTTTCGTTGTGGTAATGGTGCAATATACTTATAGAACAATTGAATCAATTCATATTTATCATTTGTTACATCCGGCCCAACAAACTAATGAAATATTTACTTTTAATATCTTTCATATAAAAACAAAAAAATTATTTTCTACTTTTATTAAATATTTTTTTAATTGTTCAATAGTTAAAATTTCTGGATGGGTTAAATCAATATTCATCTATAAATAATATAATAGATAAAGTGTTGGCTTTTTTTATCTTTTGTTTTTATTTGTCTTATCCCAAATAACAAAACAGATACTCAAAAATAAGTTATATGAATATCACATAAAAATAGAACGAATAACAAAACAATAATCACTAGTCAAATCAGATAAATCATAAAAACAAATAGATATAACATTCAAAAATTAAAATAATCCCTTTGAATTATGATGCATGTTAGATTTTATGAAGACAAAATTTTTTTCTATCGACCTTGTCTTTGTTCGATTTGATTGTAACGTTGTACAATATTATTAAATGAATTTGTCGTTTGAATTTGCTTATAGGAATCAATTGTTCTAAATTGATATTAGTAATAATAATAAAATAAATGAATGAATTTTATTTTTTCTTACATAAATTCTGTTAATCGTGTTAACCATGGATGTAATCCAAGTGAACTTTTAATTGGTCCAATAATTAAGGCTAAATTTATTTCTGGAATGGTTGATATTTCTATTAATAAATTAAAATAAATAAAAATAAATAAAAATAAGATTGAACTGTCTTTTTTTCTGTTTACTTGTATAACAATGATCTACAGTATCAATTTGAATTGAATCACATTTTATATCACCTTGTTTAACTTGTTGGCAAAGTATTTGAGCAACTTGAGTTAATGTTTGACTACAATCTATGAGCGACAGAAAATGAATCGTTGGTAATGGAAGAGATGATTGATCTAAAATGAAATACAACATAAATTCATTTTTTTCTGTTTAGAAAAATTTCCCATACTTTTTTTATTGTATGTACGAACATAATCCATAATCGAAGCTTCTCGAGCTTTGATATAACCTAGAAAAAAACTTAACTATTCTTCTCACTCAAATTTTCTTACATAATTTGATTACCCTTATAATCATAAATAATCAAATGTTGAATATTTAAATTTTGAAAAAAGAGTATTGAATTAACAATAAATTTCCATAGATCACTATCGGGTATATGTTCATTAACAATAATAGCAAGTACTTTTGTTGGTTTATTAAATTGTATATTATCCACCTGAGATGTATTTATATTCCATGAATCATTTCGAATAACATCAATATTAATCGTTATAGTATAACGACTACGACTAATAAATCGAACAATACCTCGATGAAACCATTGTGTTAGATTTAAAAAAAATAGAATAATTGCTATTAAACAACGATATAATATTGATATAGATTTCATCTTAAGAAATATATATATATATATAGAATTAAATATAAGAAAAAGAAAAGAATGATGTAATGTTTTGAAATATTGTTTCTTAGTTTAATAATATGATACAAAAAAAACAGAAAGCACAGAAATACATTTTAACGTTTACGTTTTCGATCATCATATTTCTTGGATTTATTATAATCCAAATGTTCATTATGATTCGAAGATTTTCTCTTTTTTTGTGAACGTGATTGAGATGAATTTGATGATGATGATGATGAACGATGACGATGTTTTTTATGATGATGTTTTTTATCTTTATAATCATATGATGTAGATAATGATGTTGTTGGACTTTTTTCTCGACTCGATTTCTTTTTTTTACTTTTACTTGATTTAATATCTTCATCAAAAGTTTTATTAGTCGATTTTGTTGAACTATTTGAAACTATAAAAAAAATAATTTTTCTATTCAGAACAAGATGTTTTCATTTGGAAGATAAATCAAATAGATTAATTTATTATTCAGTTGAACAATGACAAGCATGAATGATTCAATGCTTTTATTCACTTTTCTTTCATGATCTAAAGAGAAAATTTAGATGATTTACCATTATTTTCTTTTGCAGGTCTTGTAACAGATGATTTGTTTATCACAGTAGTATTTATGATAGACTGAACATGTTTTTCTTCATCATCAGAATCACTTCCTGAAAAGCCTAAAAAATAAATCATATGAACTGAAAACAAAAGGAAATTATATCTAATTACTTTGTACAAGACTTGTTAGTCCAGAAGCTTTTCGAATAACTGGCGTTGATGATTCAGCTAAAAATAACATCAATTTTTCTTTCATTTGAAATAACAGTAATAATAATAATCTATTTACTTTTACAATCAAGATAAACTTCTTTAGCAAGAAGTGCTAATTCTTCATTTGTTACTTCAAGTAACAATTCAGTTAATGAACGACGTAGTTTTATCATCTATAAGACAAAAACAAAAGACGTAGATATCGATGAAATTAAAATATTTATTTTTTCTCTTACGAATTGTTCTTCTTTATCAACTGGATCATCGTCGATGAGTGTCGTCGTCAACGTCGTAGAAGATGTTGGTGGTGGTGGTGGCGGTGATGATGGTGAATATGCTCGTTTCGAAATTGCACTTACATTCAGCTGTTGTTGTTGTTCAGTCGAATTGTCATCATCCTTGAAATGGTAGAAGAAAATAAGATGATAATAGACACATTGTTCTATTTTTAAATGTCCAATCACAACAACCCACAAAGCGACTTCGTCGATTGACAATTGGTGTCGAAGAAATCAATGCAGAACTTGATTCTTCAGTTTCTTCATCCTCGTTTTCTTCTTCTTCACCATCGTCATTGAATGTTGTCGGTGATTCGTTCATTACTCGATCATTCTTTTCATTTTCACTATCTTCTTCATCATCAACATCGAATTTCTTTTCAATAAATATATAGATAGATAGATAGATAAAATATCTGATTTTAAATTCTAATACTTACAGAAGAAGAATCATTCATAGAAAGATTATTATTACTTGTATTGTGCATTTTTTTTTCTTTTTCTTTCTCATGTCTACTTAATTCATCTCGAATCCAAGCGGGAATTTTTCGCCGCTTAGCATTCGTATTATTACCGCTAGGAATATTGGCCGTTGGTATCGAGATTGGTTCAACTACAATAATATCAACAATTTAGATTATATATAATGAGAACTTCTAAAAATCATTATTCAAATGTATTATTGATACATACCTGGTAAGATAGGTACAGAAGGAATTGGTGGTACTGGTGGAGATACAGTCTTTGGTCCGTAAGAAGAAGGAAGATCCATTAATGATGGTATGGATGTATTAAAACTTGTATTCATCATTCTTTTATCAATAGGTGGATGTTGAAATGAAGATGTAGAATATTGAGGTGGCATATGTGATGATTGAGATGATATTGGTGGCAATGGAGGTGGTGGTGGTGGAACTGGTGGAGGCACAGGAGGTGGTGCTACTTGTTGACCGACACTGCCCGGTGGCCAAAAATTACGACCTCCAAAAGACGGAGCTATGTCCTATAAAAGAAGATTTTATATTGTTTCTTTTTTGAAAGAAAAAGAATTTTTATCACTAACTGGTTGAATAGGAAATAATGGTTGATTATTATTTGTATTAGGTCTCCACTGAGGTCCACCTGACATTACAAATGGAGGAGGTGGTGGTGGCGGCGGTGGTGGTCTCCACTGTACATCTAAATATTAAATTAAATTAAAATCATTCTTATAAATCTTTCATTTTGTATAAAATATAATTTCATTCGATTGCTACTATTTGTCTTCATTTGTCTTCTTTTCACATCTTTGAAAAGTTAAGTTGAAGACTTACTTTCAATATTTGTCATCGTTAAACTTTCCTGAGTGGTATTTGAACCAACCTGTAGCTGGTGATGGTGTGGAGCCATACCAAGTTGTGTTGGTGGTAAGGGTGGAAATGTCATTCCAATTGGAGGTGGACCAGGCGGTGGAATAGGTGGAGCTCCAAGTAGAAACTGTGGAGGTGGAGGCGGTAGTGGTAGCGGTGCTTGTTGCCAATGTACTTGTTGTTCTCTTTGTTGCATCCAAGTATCCGCCAGAGCACTCCAATCAACTAAAAAAACTCAAATATAATATATTTCAAAAGAAAAATAACATAGAACAAACCATTTGCTGTTGATGTATTATGATTTAAGGGCCAATTTGTATTGAACATGGTATTAGAAAAATTACTTACTGTAAAAAAAATTTGATGTGACAATTTTGCTTTCTTTCTTCATGTCTCTCTTACACTATGCTATTTGATTCGTCAAACAAGAATAACCATTGATTAACAACAGATGGCGTTTAGTCAATTTATTTAAATTAAATATTGAAAATAAATTAATCAAAAAAAATATTTTCATATTATTAACAAAAAAAAACATAAATATTCAAGAATTAAAAAAAAAAGAAATCAAATAATTCAAATTCTTTCAATATATGACTCATTATGATCAGAAAAAAAAGAAGAAGAAGCAGAAGTAAAGTGCATTAGACCTTGACAATCCGTTACTTATCTATCATGTCATCATCGGCATTTGAAGATGGTGAATATTTAACATGTCCATTTAATCCTGCACATCAAGTTATTTCAAATAATTTTAAACATCATATACTACGATGTTCACAAGTTAGTTAATCATTCCGTTATATAATATACCCATTTTTTTCTTCTTCTTATCTTAGCATCATCCTGATGTAAAAACAATCAAATGTCTATTCAATGGTGCACATAAAATAAAACCTCCTAACTATTATGATCATCTTTGTGAATGTCCTGATAATCCAGCTTCTTAATTTTTTTCTCTTTTTTTTATTTATTGAAATAAAACATTTAAATATACTTCATGTCTTGTATGTTTCAGATTAATTATGTCGCTTTATTGTGATCCTGATGATTATTGGTAAGAAAAATTTTTTACAAAAAAACAACACAGTTTTAATTTAAAATAAACTATCTTTTAGGCTTTGTCCATACCATCCGGACCATAAAGTATTAGCAAAACGATTTCAATATCATATTATGAAATGTGCTAAAGTATAAAATAAAATACGTAGAAAAGAATAACAATGATTTTTATTTTCAAGGCTAATCCACATATTCGTCGTGTTAAATGTTCATTTAATGCAACACATTTAATAACACCAAATGAATTATTTAAACATATGTCCACTTGTCCTGATAATCAGGCTGTACATGATGCTATTGCTCAAGGCATGGGAGACTTTAGTAAGTGATTGCAATGATTTGTACTGAAAAAATTTTAAATGGGTATTTTTTTTTCATTCATCTAGATTGGGAAGATAATTCTTCTTCGGATAAAAATGAACGACATATGGCTGTTATTATGAATGGTGAAGATTGGGATCGAGAAGCGCATACTGGACAAATTTTTAATGATGATGAATTACGTCAACTTAATGGGTATTATATTTTATTTTTTTCTTTAATTTATAATAATATTTTTATGTATTATAGACAGAACGATATGTGGTCAAATTCAGTAACACCGTAATGTTATACTGTTCAAATATTGAATGATTAAATAAATCATTTTTAATAGTGCGGTACTTAGTGGAACAATATCATCACGTCCACAATCATCTTATTTAGATCGTGATGGTGCATTATTATCACGACCAGTTACTGCATCACCAAAACAAATATCACAAACCGTTGCTTCATTTGAGCCGAAGCGAACTAGTGCTCGTAAGTAGATATTTTATTTATTTCTTGAAATTAATATATTTAATCATTAGATGCTGTTGGTGGAACAATGGGTCAATCAAGTAGTATTGCAGATGCTAGTCTTGAGTATGTATTTTCTTTTTATTAACTAAAATATGATATATTATCTACCGTTTTTAGTTCTCAATTTGAAAATATTCGTCGAAATATGTTAGCAACTGGTGTTGGTCGTGGTCGATTACCAACAGCACATCATCCACCTCCATTCAGTAGTCGTTCAGTCTCATACGTATGATAGTTTCTGAATTCTTTAAAGCTAAAATTGCAAATAAAGATAATAGCTAACTGAATATTATTTTGTTTTTTATTTAGAGATCATAAATACTTCTAATTATGCCCAATTATAATGGACTTCGTCTAGTAATTTGTTGGGTATAAAACTGATTTTTTTTGTATTATTTCTTTAGTTTAGCTTTTCTTTTTTTTTTGTATAAAGTTGTGTTTTCTAAATAAAAAGGATTTATTAAGTATTCAAGAAGTAAATAAAATAATAAATTCATTTGTGCATATATAAAATATGTATTTATAGATGGCAAATTTAATGAATGATTTACAAAAATATTTGGATGAGTTTAATGAAGGTGTATTTCAAATGAATAGTTCATCATTATGTACTCTATTGAGTATACGACATAAAGGTCATATTGAAAAATTTTCTCCAGCAAATACATGTGATTTATTTGAAAAATATGGTCGTGTTGTACAAGGTTGGAATGTAATATTAACAAATCATATTAGAATATGTCAAACATTATTATATAAAAGTCGTTTAAATGATATTGTACAATATCAATATTCACTCTGTCGATCATTACTTGATCTTATTAAAGAAAGTAAAAATAAAAATTGGCATATACCAATACTTATTCTTACTCTGACTGATCTTCGTCTTTTAACAAATTATTTTACATCATATATATCAAGACATACAGATGGGAATACAAGTCCACCATCACAACGTATTGCTGATTTATCTATTGATAATGATCGACAAACTTCAGAGACGAATGTAACTAAAACAATTGAATTACTTACAGAAGCATTTCGTGTATGTACAAGTGATCGTTGTACAGAACAACGTTTGTCAAAGAAATGGGGTGCTATACAAATACTTAATCAATTACTTAAACTATGTCATAGAATTAAACGTTATGAACTTGGTGAACAATTACTGTCATTTGCAGAACAATCATTAGAATTTCGACATTACCTATTAGAAGATCAAAAAATGACATATGATTATTTTTTAGGTTAGTATTGATAATAAATCTTATCTTTATATATATCTAGATTTGTATATTTAAGGAAAATCTTATCTATTCAAAGATGATTATCGAAAAGCTACTGAATGTTTTGATCCAATTTTTCAACGTTGTCCTAGATTTATGAAAAAAAATAAAGCATCCATATTAATTCATTTATGTGTATCAAAAATGCAATTTGGTTATACACCATCATTACAAATTATAGCTAAATATAAACTTGATGCTTTTCATGATTTACTTGTTTCAATTAAAGAAGGTCAATTATATGCATTTGATCAA